GCAGGGAGCCCGATGTGGGGCTCGATCCCAGGACCCTGGGATCACGACCTGAGCCGAAGGCAGACGCTTAACGACTGAGCCACCCAGGCGCCCCGAAAATGTTGCAACTTTTGATGATTTTTCTATTAAGCTGGTTTGATGCAGTCCTTCAAATATATGTTTGGGGGCATCTGGGTAGCTCAGTCGGTAAGTGTCTGCCTTTGGCTCAGGTCATGATCTCAGCGTCCTGGGATCGAGCCCCACATTGGGCTCCCTCTCCCTCTGCGGCTCCCCCTGCTTATGCTCTCTCTCTCTGTCAAATAAATAAAATCTTAAAAAAAAGTTATATGTATGAAAACAAATGATGGGGCTACTCAAAGTCATGACATCACTTTTATAGTATAAATAACTAATTTTTAGTTTGTTTTATACAGGGAAGTCATAAAAGATAATCAGAAGAATAAAAAAAACCCACAGGCTTAAGTGTTAGATGTAAACACTAAAATCTTCATTTGAAAAAAGCAATAAGCAATTACAATCCAAATACTCAGACAAAATGAACTGTCACCAGCAATTTTATATATAACGTTTTCACTTTCAATTTTATTTCAAATGGTAACCACTGATACTTACCCGCTGATGCAGCAAGTACATCTTTACAAAGCTTTAACCAGAAGGAGAGCTTATCCACTGCCATTGATGTAAGCATATGATTTAAAGTCTCTTTGATATCATGGCATAACTTCTGATCTGTCTCTTTATCTAGTAAGGTCAATAATGCCCCTTCAAGGCCCACTTCTCTGATGTTAGCATCTGACAAGAAGAAAATCGATGATCTAAGTAATACAGAAAACAAAACTGCCATATGAGAAGCACACATATTCAAAAGTTATTGAAATACTACATGCAAATATTCTCATTGCAAAGTAATAAAGCACCTCAAAGGAGAAACATAAGCTTTGGTCTAGCATCTACTTCCTCTAATTCCGGAAATGCCAAAAGAACAAATAAATTTTCTCTTGAAAATTTAACTTATTTAGCATTTCTGAAAGCATTTAGGTTCTAAAGATTATGCTATTATCACACTATTTTGAAAGAGAAATTATCTTTTAAAGACCAGAAGGAGGCATCACTGGGATAAAAGGTACAGCACAGGGAATATGTCAGTGGTATTATAATAGCATTGTATGGTGACAGATGAGAGCTACACTTGTGGTGAGCACAGCATAACATATAAATTTGTTGACTCATGATGCTGTACACCTGAAACTAATTAACACTGTGTGTCAACTATACTTCAATTAAAAAGAAAAGATCAGAAGGAGGCAGCAGGAATGTTTCCGATTAGGAGTCGAAAGAGACAAAACAACCATTGTAATGTGTGAGTCATGGCTGGATCCTATATTTGGGCGGTGGTAAGGGAGGGTAGAAGGAGTCATAAAGGATATTTTTTGGATAACTGGCGAAATTTGTGTGAGAACTGCACATTTTATGATCGCTACTAAATCAGTGTTGGTTTTATTAAGTGTGGAAATGATGCGTGGTCATGCAGGAGAATATTACGTATTAGGGGTGAGTTGTCATGATGTCTGCAGTCTGCTTTCAGATGGTTTGGCAAAGGTATGCATCTTGTATATATGGAAAGAGAGGAAGATATATAAAATGAGTGCCATAAAGATACTAAGGAGGTGAATATATGTGTTCACTGCACATTACTTCCAACTTACCCTTTAGTTTGAAAAATTATAAAATTTTAAAAAGGGAATTATATAACAAGTTCTTTACTGTATTTTACTCACATAGCTAGTTCAAGAATTCTAGGAACATATACCAGCATGTTTACACAATCAAAGCCAAGCAAAAGATGCAGAGAATTTCAGTGGTGAATATAAACTGAAGGTTACTTGGGCAGAATATCACACATGATTAAAAGATTAAAATTTCTCTGGTTAAAGTAAGTCACCAATTGTTCTCAAACGGGTTCTGCAACCTTTCTGATGACTACTATACTAGTTCAGCAGTGCTGATTAACTCAAGCCAGAGTTAAAGTTTTAATACTAATTTAAGGAGCACAGCATGACAGTAAAACACACTGTTGTGTGCTTTAGATACTGGAAAGCTTTGTGAAGCCTGAGACCTAAAAGTATGACAGCACTTTGGAAACTATATACATAAAAGAGTAAGATATTGCCATTACTATTTTTGTAGGTTGTTTGAATTTGTATGCATACTTGGGTTACACACAAAATTTTAAAATAAGAAATCCTTTAATTCAGCTCTAAAATAAAGAAGAGGCATAAAAACCCTCTAACCTGAAGACTCATCTATAGTAAGTTTTTTATTAAATGAGATTTCGGAGGAAGAAAGGCACATATGGTAAATTACTTAAAGACTAAATCCAACTTCAATTGATTGTTGTGAAAAAATTTGCTCTAAAATTTGAGAGGCTCTCAAATTCATTAACAGGGATTATAAAACATAGGTAACAGATTGCTGGGCTCCACTCACAGATCTCTGGTTACGCAGATTTGTGATGGGGCCCAATCATTTGCATTTTTTACAAGTTCTCAGTGAGGTGGATATTGCTAGTTCGGGGGCCTAAGTTTGAAAACCATTGCTCTAAACCAGTAACATTACTGGTTGGAATGACAGTAATTGTTTTTTTTTTTTTTTTAAAGATTTTATTTATTTATTTGACAGAGAGAGACACAGCAGGAGAGGGAACACAAGCAGGGGAGTGGGAGAGGGAGAAGCAGGCTCCCCACGGAGCAAGGAGCCTGATGTGGGGCTCGATCCCAGGACCCTGAGATCATGACCTGAGCCGAAGGCAGCTGCTTAACCGACTGAGCCACCCAGGCGCCCGAAGCTGAATTTTAAAGTCATGCAGGGAAAGGTTTGAATCTATTTGTGTGTGTTTTTGGGCAAATTACTTAACCTTTCCAAGTCTTGTTTTCTCTTGTGTAAAATGGAATAATACTGCCTACTCATTGGATGGTTAAATGACTAAATCAGATAAAGTATGTGTAGTACCTGGAACAGAACTGATTTGTCTCCTTTCTTCATCTCATTTATTTTCTCTCTTACTCCAAAGATAAATTTGAAAGACTCTAATATACATTCTCACTAACACTTATCTTATACTGACAAAAACAATAGGGAAATAACATTGTTTTCTAACCCTGTTTGAAATCCACATTATTGAGTGCATAGAAACTCGCCTGCTCAAAATGTTGCAACTTTTTTTTTTTAAAGATTTTATTTATTTATTTGACAGAGAGAGACACAGCGAGAGAGGGAACACAAGCAGGGGGAGG